GTGGCTCCTAAGCTGCTTTTGACCACAAATACTTAAGTTTACTCTAAATTTGTTTTGTATAAAGTAATATGATTGCAGTATCTACACAAAGCTTTTACTTTAAAGATGACAATATCAGCTTGGGTCTGAGTTTTTCACAAATACATCTCACTGCTGATAAGAAGAATCACTAGTAGCAACAAACATACTGAGGAATAGAGGACGTGAGACAAATCTACATTCAAGAACCAACTCATGCTCTCAGGATATGTAACACATGAATGTTACAAATATTCTCAATTGCTAAATTTTTGGTTAAAAAGACCTATATTAATTTTTCAACAGCAGAAACCCAGAAATGTAGTGATCTACCTATTGTATAAATAATTTGCTGTGCTAGTGACTCATGAATCTACAAAGTCCACAGTGAGTCCCCTCTATGGAAAGGCACCTGTTGGAGATCCACCAAGTTCCAGGGAAAGCAGTGTGCATGTGGCTTTGATTCTCCCGTCCCTGTGGAATGCAGCTTGGTCTTCTCCTTAAGTTACAGAACAGAATAAATATCCATTCTGGAATTGTAAAACCACACTGAGCAGAAAGCTGCTAGAGAGTCTGAGATTTTGTAACAAATCAGTACTGACAAATTTGAGGAAGTACGGATACCTGGCCTTCAGACTTCGGCCATCGTGGATTTCTCTTGAGATGTAGCTGTTCATTGCTGTGCCAGACCTAATGGATCAAACCATCTGAGTGGTTGTAAGAGACTTTGTTGAAATGGCCCATGAGATTACCTGCCAACACAGCCCCCCAGAAGCCATCCTCGCTCTCCTCTTTCAGCCTCCCCAGCAGTGCTAATGGCTATTGAGTAGGCATTGCTAAGTTCGGGACCCAGATTTCTTCCTTACCTCCTTCCCAAATTCAGAAGCAAGAAGAAAGCTTTTATTCTACAGCAGAAGCATGATTCTCCAATGTGCTGAAAACCATTTTGTGTACACCTGTGAATCTCTTTCTTTTGCTTTGTCCTCCTCCTTCATTCTTCTCAATTCGGCTAAAGACTTAAACTTTTAGAAAAAGTCCAGACAAAGTTGGATCATTGCCTTCCCTCTATCCACTTCTGGCTTAAGGACCACCCTGGAGCCTGTTTGAAAGGACAAAGAGCAAACAGAACTCAAGAAGAAAAATCTCCACTAATATTGCAAAAAGGTTATCGGTCAAGTGAGCCCTTCACTTATTTTCCCATGAAATCATTTGAAATATATGAAGTCAGGTAAGAATCCCCAATATGTAATCCAGATGTATTTCTTTTTCAACTAATTATTTTAGAACCAGCTCCTGGGGCTGGGAAGATAGCTCAGTGGCACAAGAGCCAGCGTGAAAGTGCAAGATCTCGAGTTTCATTTCCAGTACCATAAAAAAAAAGCACCAGTTCCTATATCCTTACCAAGGAAGACGAAGGATGGTAAAGCCTGTGATAAAAATGGGCTTTTGTCGGGCTGGGGAGATGGCTCAGTGGAATAAGTGCTTCCCTGGCAAGCACAAGGGCCTGAGTTCAATCCCCAGTTCCACAAAAAAAAAAAA